TTTTTTTTTTTTTTTGTTGCTATTTTTTCCGCTTTCATTCTTTGGTATCCTCGTCTCAATTCCCCGCCTTTTCCAGACTATAAAAGGAGTAAGGAAAGCAGTAGAATTATGCTGGACATATCCTGTTATCCCTCTTTAATAGATAGGTTTATACTGGAATTCGGAAGTATTCTTTGAAATAAATGGGCAAAAGAAAAGAACCAGATTAAGCAGCTATTGTCTTCAAACTTCTGTTTTTGACTGATATTCTGTTAGGTATCAGTTGTTTCCACTCAGATGCTTACAGATATATGAAAGGCGTCAAACGCTGTCAAGAGGCTAAGCATTCGGCTTAAGTGATGCAGTTGATGACGTTGTTTCATGCAATATAAACCCCACTTTCATGTGTATTTTCACCCTGTGAAGTTCAGTTGTGTTCTTTGGTGATAGCATTAAAAGTCGTTTTAGATTGGCGTAGTAAATTAATGTTGCTAAAAGAAAAAAGATTTTTAACTTAAAATTTTAAAAGGTTAAATTTGCCATTAGCAACTTTTCTGTTTTTTTCTCTTCTATTTGGAAACTGATTGATGTGGAAGAAAAATTGGAAGAAATTATATAAAACTTAATAAAGAAAAAAAAAGCACATAACCTATTTGCTAATTGTCGAAACATTTTATCTGAAAAATGCTTTTTTTTTCTGCTAAACTAATTGTTCAAAATCTATAGATAGACGTTGAATTTAGTGCTCAAGCAATTGACCGATAAGAGCACAAATTTTTGATTTTATTTCTGGATCGGTTTACATCCACTTTTTTTTTTCTATTTTATCTTTAAAAACTTCGGTTTTCTTCCTTTCTTCAAATTACAGCTCTCACTTCTTCATTTATTGCTTATCAATTTTTTTCTAGATCTGTTTCTTTGGTAGATAGTTTCGCACAGTTGTTGATATTTAGTGGGAAAAAAAATATATGACATGATTTTGTTGCCCTATGAATAACTGAAAAATAATTTTTTAATGAAACTTTAGTAGTTTCTTACCTCGTCA